GGGAATGGGATTTATGGGAATGGGATTTATTGGGAATGGGATTCATTGGGAATGGGATTTATGGGAATGGGATTTATTGGGAATTGGATTTATTGGGAATGGGATTTATGGGAATGGGATGGGAGCTCTCAGTGCCATTCCCAGAGCCATTCCCGTTTTTCCCGGTGCCATTCCCGGTGTTCATTCCCATTTTTCCCGATGTCATTCCCGGTGTTCATTCCCATTCCTGGTGTTCATTCCCGATGTCATTCCCGGTGTCCATTCCTGTTTTCCCGGTGTTCATTCCCATTCCCGGTGTCATTCCCGGTGTTCATTCCCATTCCCGTTTTATTCCCGGTGTCATTCCCGGTGTCCATTCCCATTCCCGGTGTTCATTCCCGTTTTTCCCGGTGTCCATTCCCATTCCCGGTGTTTTTTCCCATTCCCGGTGTCATTCCCGGTGTTCATTCCCATTCCCGTTTCATTCCCGGTGCCATTCCCGGTGTTCATTCCCATTCCTGGTGTCCATTCCCGTTTTTCCCGGTGTTCATTCCCATTCCCGGTGTCATTCCCGGTGTTCATTCCCATTCCCGGTGTTCATTCCCATTCCCGGTGTCATTCCCGGTGTTCATTCCCGGTGTCCATTCCCATTCCCGGTGTTTTTTCCCATTCCCGGTGTTCATTCCCATTTTTCCCGGTGTTTTTTCCCATTCCCGGTGTCATTCCCGGTGTTCATTCCCATTTTTCCCGGTGTTCATTCCCATTCCCGGTGTCATTCCCGGTGCCATTCCCGGTGTTCATTCCCGTTTTATTCCCGGTGTCATTCCCGGTGTTCATTCCCGGTGTTCATTCCCATTCCCGGTGTCATTCCCGGTGTTCATTCCCATTTTTCCCAGTGTTCATTCCCATTCCCGGTGTCATTCCCGGTGTTTTTTCCCATTCCCGGTGTCATTCCCGGTGTCCATTCCCATTCCCGGTGCCATTCCCGGTGTTTTTCCGCAGGCTCCGGGCCCGGCGCTGCTCCCGGCCGATCCCGGCCCCGCCCGCCGCATCGATGACGTCACCAATGACGTCATCACCGACGTCACCAATGACGTCGCCGCCCGTGACGTCACCGCCAATGACGTCACCAATGACGTCATCGCCGAGCTGCCCCCGGCCGGCCCCGCCCCCTCCCCCGGACACAGGTGGGACGGAATTCCCGAAAATTCCCCGGGAATGGGGACGGAATTCCCGAAAATTCCCCGGGAATGGGGACGGGATTCCCGGAAATTCCCCGGGAATGGGGACGGGATTCCTGGAAATTCCCCGGGAATGGGGACGGGATTCCAGGAAATTCCCCGGGAATGGGGCAGGTGGGACGGGATTCCCGGAAATTCCCCGGGAATGGGGCAGGTGGGACGGAATTCCTGGAAATTCCCCGGGAATGGGGTGGGTGAGACAGGACTCCCGAAAATTCCCTGGAAACGGGGCTGAGATTCCCGGAAATTCCCCAGGAACGGGGACGGAATTCCCAGAAATTCCCCAGGAACGGGGACGGAATTCCCAGAAATTCCCCGGGAATGGGAATGGGATTCCCGGAAATTCCCCGGGAATGGGGATGGGATTCCCAAAAATTTCCTGGGAATTGAGACAGGATTCCCGGAAATTCCCCGGGAATGAGGTTGGGAGTCCCAAAAATTCCCCGGGAATGGGGATGGGATTCCAGGAAATTCCCCGGGAATGGGTCTTTTCCACATTTCCCATTTTCCCATTTTTCCCATATTCCCGTTTTTCCCATTATTCCCATTAATCCCGTTTTTCCCATATTCCCATTTTTCCCATTTTTCCCATTCCCATTATTCCCGCTTTTCCCATTTTCCCGCATTTCCCATTCCCATTTTTCCTGCTTTTCCCATATTTCCGTCATTCCCATTTTTCCCATATTCCTGTTTTCCCATATTCCCTTTATTCCCATATTCCCATTTTTCTCACATTCCCATTTTTCCCATTTTTCCCGCTTTCCCCATTCCTATTTTCCCACGTTTGCCATTCCCATTTTTCCTGCTTTTCCCACATTCCTGTTATTCCCGTTTTTCCCACATTCCCGTTTTTTCCACATTCCCATATTCCCATTATTCCCACATTCCCTTTATTCCCATTTTTCCTGCTCTTCCCACATTCCCGTTATTCCCACATTCCCGCTTTTCCAACATTCCCATTATTCCCGTTTTTCCCATCATTCCCGTTTTTCCCATTCCCATTTTCCCACATTCCCTTTATTCCCGTTACTCCTGTTTTTCCCACATTCCCTTTATTCCCGTTATTCCCATTTTTCCGTTATTCCCATTTATTCCCACATCCCGTCATTCCCACATTCCCGTCATTCCCGTCATTCCCGTCATTCCCACATTCCCTTCATTCATTCCCACATTCCCGTCATTCCCACATTCCCATCATTCCCGTCATTCCCGTCATTCCCACATTCCCACATTCCCGTCATTCCCACATTCCCACATTCCCGTCATTCCCACATTCCCATTAATTCCCACATTCCCTTCATTCCCACATTCCCGTCATTCCCACATTCCCACATTCCCGTCATTCCCGTTATTCCCATTTATTCCCGCATTCCCGTCATTCCCACATCCCGTCATTCCCATTTATTCCCGTCATTCCCACATTCCCGTCATTCCCACATTCCCGTTATTCCCGTCATTCCCACATTCCCTTCATTCATTCCCACATTCCCGTCATTCCCACATTCCCATTTATTCCCGTCATTCCCATCATTCCCGTTGTTCCCTTCATTCATTCCCACATTCCCACATTCCCACATTCCCTTCATTCCCATTCATTCCCGTTATTCCCGTCATTCCCTTCATTCATTCCCTTCATTCCCGTCATTCCCGTCATTCCCGTCATTCCCACATTCCCATTTATTCCCGTTATTCCCGTCATTCCCGCATTCCCGTCATTCCCGTCATTCCCGTCATTCCCTTCATTCATTCCCACATTCCCACATTCCCGTTATTCCGTCATTCCCGCGTTCCCGTTTTTCCGGGCCGGAGCAGCCCGCCCGTCCGGATCAAGGAGGAGCCTCCCAGCCCCGCCCCCAGCCCGCGGGGGGAGGAGCCCCGGAACCCCGGGAATCCCGGGAATCCCGGGAATTCCGGGAATTCCGGGAGCGCCGAGACGCCGCTGTCGCCCGGCACCTTCATCGACTCCATCCTGCGGGAAAACGACTCCGGAGCCGCGCCCGGGAACGGCCCCGAAAAATTCCCGGAAAAATGCCGGAGCCTCGCCTGCCTCGACAGGTCAGCCCCTCCGGAATTCCCGGAATTCCCAACATTCCCGGCTGGGGAAAGCGGGAATGGGAATGGGAATGGGAATCTGGGAATGGGGATGGGAATCTGGGAATGGGAATGGGGCAGAATTCCTGGAATTCCTAAAATTCCTGGAATTCCCGGCTGGGGAAAGCGGGAATGGGAATGGGGATGGGAATCTGGGAATGGGGATGGGAATCTGGGAATGGGAATGGGGCAGAATTCCTGGAATTCCCAGCTCGGGAAAAGCGGGAATGGGAATGGGAATGGGAATGGAAATGGGAATGGGATTGGCAATGGGAATGGGGCAGAATTCCTGGAATTTCTGGAATTCCCAGCTCGGGAAAAGCGGGAATGGCAATGGCAATGGCAATGGGAATGGCAATGGCAATGGGGCAGAATTCCCGGAATTCCCGGAATTCCCAGCTCGGGAAAAGCGGGAATGGGAATGGCAATGGGAATGGAAATGGCAATGGGAATGGGAATGGGAATGGGGCAGAATTCCTGGAATTCCCGGAATTCCCAGCTCGGGAAAAGCGGGAATGGGAATGGCAATGGCTCAGGTCAGAGCTGGACTCGGTGGTTCCGATGTTCCCGGTGTCATTCCCAGTTTCGTTCCCGTCATTCCCGCTTTTTATTCCCGGGGTTCATTCCCGGTGTTTATTCCCGGTTTTTAGGTCGGAGCTGAGCGAGCACCCAGCCTCGCTGTTCCCGGGGTTCATTCCCAGTTTTTATTCCCGCTATTCCCGGTGTTTATTCCCATTTTTCCAGGTCGGAGCTGAGCGAGCACCCAGCCTCACTGTTCCCGCTGCCATTCCCGGTGTTTATTCCTGTTATTCCCGGGGTTCATTCCCGCTATTCCCGGTGTCCATTCCCGTTTTTCCCGGGGTTCATTCCCGTTATTCCCGGTGTTCATTCCCGTTATTCCCGGTGTCCATTCCCGCTATTCCCGGTGTTTGTTCCCGTTATTCCCAGTGTTTATTCCCGTTTTTCCAGGTCGGAGCTGAGCGAGCACCTGGACTTGCTGTTCCCGGTGTTCATTCCCGTTATTCCCGGTGTTCATTCCCGTTATTCCCGGTGTTTATTCCCGTTATTCCCGGGGTTCATTCCCGTTTTTCCAGGTCGGAGCTGAGCAAGCACCTGGCCTCGCTGTTCCCGGTGTTTATTCCCGTTATTCCCGGTGTTTATTCCCGTTATTCCCGGTGTTTATTCCCGTTTTTCCAGGTCGGAGCTGAGCGAGCACCTGGACTCGCTGTTCCCGGTGTCCATTCCCGCTATTCCCGGTGTTCATTCCCGTTATTCCCGTTTTTCCAGGTCGGAGCTGAGCGAGCACCTGGACTCGGTGTTCCCGGTGTTTATTCCCGTTATTCCCAGTGTTCATTCCCGTCATTCCCGTTTTTCCAGGTCGGAGCTGAGCGAGCACCTGGACTCGCTGTTCCCGCTGCCATTCCCGGTGTCCATTCCCGCTATTCCCGGTGTTCATTCCCGTCATTCCCGTTTTTCCAGGTCGGAGCTGAGCGAGCACCTGGACTCGGTGGATTCCAGCCTGGAGAAGCTGCAGGCGCTGCTCGGCTCCCACGGCTTCAGCATGGACAGCGCCCTGCTCGACGTGAGCCCGGAATTCCCGGAATTCCCGGAATTCCCAACGTTCCCAGCCAGAATCCCCAGCGTTCCCGGAATATCCTGGCCAGAATTCCCAACGTTCCCAATGGTCCCAAAATTGACAACATTCCCACCCGGAATTCCCAACATTCCCGGCCAGAATTCCCAACATTCCCGGAATTCCCAACATTCCCGGCGTTCCTGGAATTCCCGGCCGGAATTCCCAACATTCCCGGAATTCCCAACGTTCCCAACATTCCTGCCCAGAAATCTCAAAATTCCTGGCCAGAATCCCCAACATTCCCACCCGGAATCCCCAAAATTCCCAACATTCCCAGCCGGAATTCCCAACATTCCCGGAATCCCCAAAATTCCCAACATTCCCAGCCGGAATTCCCAACATTCCCACCCCAAATTCCCAACGTTCCCGGAATTCCTGGAATTCTCAACATTCCCACTTGGAATCCCCAAAATTCCCAACATTCCCGGCCAGAATTCCCAATGTTCCCGGAATTCCCAAAGTTCCCAACATTCCCGGCCAGAATTCCCAACATTCCCACCCCAAATTCCCAACATTCCCAGAATTCCTGGAATTCCCAACATTCCCACCCCAAATTCCCAACATTCCCGGAATTCCCACCCAGAATCCCCAACATTCCCACCCAGGATTCCCAGCATTCCCAACATTCCCGCTTTTTCCCCAGCTGGGAATTTTGGGAATTCCATTCATTTCTCCCCATTCCCATTCCCACTTTTCCTGAGCCGGGAATTTTGGGAATTCCCTGGTTTGGGACAGATTTTCCTGGGATTTCCTGGTTTGGGACACATTTTTCCCAGGAATTCCCGTGTTTGGAGTTTTTTCCAGGAATTCCCCAGTTTGGGACAGATTTTTCCCGGGAATTGCCACATTTGGGTCGGATTTTCCCAGGAATTCCCTTGCTCAGGATGGGTTTTTTCTGGGAATTCCCACGTTGGGAATTTTTCCCAGGAACTCCCTGACTCAGATCAGATTTTCCCCGGGAATTCCCATGTTTGGATCAGGTTTTTCCCAGGAATTCCTGCTCTCAAGGCAGATTTTCCCTGGGAATTCCCATGTTTGGATCAGGTTTTTCCCAGGAATTCCCGGTCTCAAGGCAGATTTTCCCTGGGAATTCCCACATTTGGGTGGATTTTTCCCGGGAATTCCCATGTTTGGGTCAGGTTTTTCCTGGGAATTCCCAGGATGGGGACAGAATTTCCTGGGAATTCCTGGTTTGGGACAGATTTTTCCCGGGAATTCCCGTGTTTGGGTTGGGTTTTCCCAGGAATTCCCGAATTGGGGCTGGGTTTTTCCTGGGAATTTCAGCATTCCCAGACTTGGGGCAGGTTTTCCCAGGAATTCCCGGTTGGGGCGGGATTTTTCCCGGGAATTCCCGGTTGGGGTGGGTTTTTCCCGGGAATTCCCGGTTGGGTTGGGTTTTTCCCGGGAATTCCCGTGTTTGGGGTGGATTTTTCCCAGGAATTCCCGGTTGGGGCGGGATTTTCCCGGGAATTCCCGGTTGGGTTGGGTTTTTCCCGGGAATTCCCTGGTTTGGGTTGGGTTTTTCCCGGGAATTCCCGTGTTTGGGGTGGATTTTTCCCAGGAATTCCCGGTTGGGTTGGGTTTTCCCAGGAATTCCCTGGTTTGGGGCGGGTTTTTCCCGGGAATTCCAGGTTGGGTTGGGTTTTCCCGGGAATTCCCGGTTGGGATGGATTTTTCCCGGGAATTCCCTGGTTTGGGTTGGGTTTTTCCCGGGAATTCCCGTGTTTGGGGTGGATTTTTCCCAGGAATTCCCGGTTGGGGCGGGGTTTTCCCGGGAATTCCCTGGTTTGGGTTGGGTTTTTCCCGGGAATTCCCGGGATTCCGACGCCGTTCCCGCTCTCCGCAGCTCTTCAGCCCGGCCGTGGCCGTGCCGGAGGTGGCGCTGCCGGACCTGGACAGCGGCCTGGCCAGCGTGAGCCCCATTCCCAAAAATCCCGGA